AATAGGTAACTTCACATCTGAGCAGACAAGTATCACATGTGGAGTTCCCCAAGGTTCCATCTTGGGACCCCATCTGTTTAACATTTACATGCTCCCACTGGCACAGATTATAAAGAACAACAAAATAAACTACCACAGCTATGCAGATGACACACAAATATATATGACAGTGTCACCAGGAGACCGAGGCCCTGTACAGACGCTTGGTAATTACATTGAGGAAATTAATGACTGGTTCTGCCACAATTTTCTCCAGCTAAACAAAAACAAAACTGAGATAATAGTCTTTGGCACCAAAGAAAAACGATTACAGGTCACCAGAGAACTTCAATCTATACACCTAAAAACCACAAACCAGGCGAGAAATTTGGGTGTAATGATGGATGCAGACCTAAACTTAGAAAAACAAGTCAGAGAACTACAGCTCATTCAGAACTCTGCTGCTCGAGTCCTCACTAAGACCAAAAAAGTGGACCACATCAGTCCAGCTCTGAGGTCTTTACACTGCTGCCTGTCCGTCAGAGGATAGACTTTAAAGTCCTGATGCTGGTCTATAAAGCTCTGAATGGTTTAGGACCAAAATACATCAATGACCTCCTGACCCAGTATGAACCTTCCAGATCCCTCAGGTCATCTGGATCCGGTCTTTTATCAGTTCCCAGAGTCAGAACCAGACACGGAGAAGCTGCATCCAGCTTTTATGCTCCTTATATCTGGGACAAACTCCCAGAAAGCCTCAGATCAGCTGAAATACTCAGTTTATTTAAATCCAGGTTGAAGACTCACCTGCTCTCAGCTGCATTTGAATAAAGCACCAAATGCGCACTTAAGCTTAAATTTCAAAACTTACATTTAACTACTGATTTTATCTACTGTTCTGATTTTATCTGTTTTGATTTTATATACTGTTTTGTTTGTTTGTTTGTTTGTTTGCTTGCTTGCTGCTTGCTTGTTTTAATCAATTTTAAATCATGCTTTTTATCTGTTTGTGTTTCTAATGTCTCTGTAAAGCACTTTGAATCACCTTGTTGTTGAACTGTACTATACAAATAAACTTGCCTTGCCTTGCCTAAAGTGCTATACAAATTCAGGCCATTTGCCATAAATAAATGAAGTGAGGCTAACAGTTTCAAAAGGTTCCAATAGTTGTTTTAATCTAGGATAAGTATGTCCTGTGCCTCTCTGTAAGAGCCAAAGTCAATGTTTATGTTTTTCCTTTTTTGTTTTGGTGGCACAGGTGTATAGCTTTACCTGCGTCTCAGGTGATGGTATGTGGGTGTGGTCACAGTCTATTTACTTGAGGTCGGTGTTCGCAGCAGGTGTGTTGGGTGAGTGGTTTGTGGGCAAACTTTTCTGTTGACCGTCATTTGCTGGCACACCAGTTAATCCATGCGCTAGTTGTAAATTGATTGAAAGCGCAAATGTTTGTTTTTGTTTTGTTCTTAAAATAAATGCGCAAAGTACAAGTACGACTCATGGATTATTGGAGGCGCCTCACAGGGACACAACCAACTCAGCCGGCTGCGGCTTTATCTACGGATGAAAGTCGCAACACTCTCTATTCAAATATTAATATAATTTTCGCTGTAAATATATTGAGATATTTACAAATTGTTTCTGGAAATGCTCTCACTAGACACCTCATACATATATATTGCTTGCTGATCAGTTCGTGTCACGTGCATGAAGCAAATATCAGACATTCTCTCCATACCTGAGTGTGTCCAGTCCCCAGCATGGATCTTTCAGTCCAGCCAACAACAGCTTCATTCCTGAGGCTCCTGGATCATTGTAGCTCAGGTCCAGCTCTCTCAGATGGGAAGGGTTGGAGCTCACAGCTGAGGTTAGAGAAGTACAGCTTTCTTCTGTGATCAGACAGCCTGACAGACTGCAGATGCGCAAAAACACAACCATTTGTGAACAATGAACAAAATCACCTAAGCCAGCTCTAACTGTGAGTTTTAACAAAAAGGAAAGTTTGAAGCTGATCTTGAAAGTAGAGAAGGTGTCTGTCTCCTGAACTTAAACTGGGAGTGGCTTCCACAACAAGTTCAACATTGCCCGGCTTTTTTTGTATAGAGATTGAAAATGTGATTTCACTCAGGGGTAAAACTGCAAAGAATTCTGGGAACTCGTGGCAAGAGGTACTAGCGCACGCAGGCTTTCAATTGAAATCAGTTATACAGCGATAAAAAGAAACACAAAAAATGGCAAGAAGCTGTTGTATTCTTAACTGCAATAGCCGGTCGCATGACAGCCACGGAAAGCCGACGGGTAAAGAGATCGGTTGTTATCGGATTACGTCGTTGAAGAGAAATTGTGCAAGCCATGTTTCCGAAGTAACAAAGGTGACTGGATTGCAGCCATTCAAAGACAAAATATAACGTCCCAGAACACTCCAGCTCACAGGTTAGTCTGCTCCAAACATTCCCACAAAGGTCATTCTGCTGTTGTAGTTAATGCCTCATTTTTCTTAAAATAATTGGTGATATAGGTTACAAGCAAGTCTGGCGCTGAACAGAAATTGTAGCGCTATGCTCCTTTGTTTATTGTGCATAAATAGTAAATTGTCCTGACACAACTTGACACAACCAGAACAAGCGGTGTTCAGTTTTACCAACGGCAAAACACTCCTAAATTAGAAGCATTATACAAATATTGACCAGGAACTGCTGCAAGTGCCTCAAGTTACTGCAAAGCCCAAGGCCTCCAGTCCTCGTCATCACCTGATGCTGGTGGCCGGGGGACAGGTCACCAAAAGCAGTGTGCGAGGAAGCAGAAGCACAACATGCAGGGGTCTGTGCTATGGTAAGAGCAAATCCAAGCCGGCCAGCTGTCCCATTCATCCTGCTCTCAAACATTTGCTCACTGGACAATAAACTGGAATACATCTGACTCCAGTGGACCAAACAGCAGGAATTTGGGGACTGTTGCATCTTTGTTTTTACAGAACCATGGCTTAGTGACAGAGTTCTGGACACAACCATTCAGCTACACAAGCTCACCTCACTTTCTACCAACAGAAATGCAGCTCTGTGTGGTAAGATTCGTGGTGGTGGCTTTTGTGCCCACATCAACATGAAATGGTGCAAGAAATCTGTGTTAGTTTCTAATTACTGCTACCGAGTTTATGAATGTTACATGCAGACCTTTTTTTATTTACTTTAGGAATTCACTGCTGTGCTTGTTATAGCAGTGTACATCCCACCCAGTGCTAGCACTACAGAGGCATTCTGGGAGCAGTAAGGAGCAATCAGCAAGCTGTAGAAATCACACCCCGATGGAATGTTTATTGTCATTTTTTGTCAGAGCAGCAAACATGTTCATGGCAGAAGAATCCAAAGCCACTTCCAGGACAGCGGAGACATCTTTCTCTTAACATGGACAAAACAAAAGAGATGAGTTGTCAACTTCAGAAGAGTGATCGCTGTCCACTGAATCCTCTGTAGAGGTCGTTAAGAGCACCAAATTCCTTGGTGTCCACCTGAGAGAGAACCTCTCGTGGTTCCTCAATACCAGCTCCATAATTAAGAAGGCCCAACAGCGTCCCTACCTACTGCCTGCTACCAACTTGACTTGACTTGGCTTGATAGATAGTACGATTGCAATGGAAAATCAGTTCATCTGAATTGATTTGTGGTAAGTCGATCCGAGTAGATACTAATGGAAAAGGGGCTTATGTATCCAGGTTCTATGAGGAGAACATGATATGTTGAATTAGTCCAGTAGCTTAAAGTGTTGTTCCATCTTCCATTTTAAAAATTAAACTGAATACCTTTGCCTTTGGGTAGCTGACATTTCACCTTCTATTATGGTTCATTCTAATATGGTTCATTCTGTTTTCAGTTTATATAACCGCAAATGTTCCATCAGTGACTCAATGACTTCAATAATCATTGCTGGATCAGAATCCTCATTTATATTTTGTCATTTGCAGATTCATAGAGTCTCTCATTTCTCATTTCTGTTTTACTTCTGCTCTTAATGTCCCACCATAGAAAGAATCACTATCCATCCAGGCTCTTGAACATGAAGCTGATGATGCTGGTGCGATGGAGATTGATTGTGGTTTCAACTTACTATTTATGTTAAGAAATTTTTATCAAGTTACTCTTTATGCAGCAATATAAATCCGGTTTTAAATGATCATCAGTGGAAATGTTTTAATTCTGACCTGAGAGTTTCCATTTTGCATTGTGGACTCCTCAGTCCAGCAGACAGAAGATTGACTGCTGAATCCTGCATGTCAGAGTTACTCAGGTCCAGCTCTCTCAGACTAGAGGACTGAGAGCTGAGAGCTGAGAACAGAGCTTCATAGCCTCTCTCTGAGAACTTACAGTGACTCAGTCTGAAAAATGAAAGATACAATATTAAACAAACACGTTTGTTAAAGTGCAGTGGGGGTGCACTGAAGAGTTATTAGATTTAGAATATTTAATGGTGTTTTTTTTCCAGCAATCCTTACTTCCTAAACAAGGTACAACAACAAATGAATAACATTGACATTTACTAGGTAAAATGCACTGCTCCATAAAATACAAGCAACATTTTTAAAAAAGGTTCTCAGTATAGTTGTGGATCAATTATGGTATTCTATGGTAAATGCCAATCCAGGTCCACATAGCAGGCAGTGGATTCAGGACCCACAAGAGGATGTTGTGCCCTCAGACTACCCTCATTATGCATGTTTCTAATTGTTTTGCTCTGGCTGTGTTCATCTTGTTTACACAAAGGAGCAGATACCCATTCAGCAATACAGCCCTGTCCAGCTCTCTTAGATTAACTGACTGTTCGCTGGAATCTCCTCCATGCTGTCGAGATTGTTCTGGGAGACACTCAAAACCTTCCAGTGATGCATATATTGATAACATCCTTGATAAGTTGGACTAAGTGTGCAACCTCTGTAGGGTCCAGGTATTGCCCCAGGCTACCAGTAGTGACGCTGACTGCAGCTGAAATTCATTAATTACTCTCTCTGCTACTAAAAAGGTCAGCAAACTATTGGAGATGTTTAACTGATGATGCTATATTCTGATTAAAAAATCTTTCTCTATTTTATTTCTTTGTTTTTTCGAGTAGTGTATTCTTATTGCCCAAAAGATTGATTCTGTTCATGTGGAAGTAGCATTTTCAGTGGGAGAAACATTTTGTTTTCATCCAATTAATGTCTTCAGTCTCAGGTCAGTGCATGTTTCCACAACCTTATAAACAGTATATTTACACAATAACTGAAACCAGCACACTGGATTAATAATGGACTGTGAGGTCAGTTCCTGATGATTGAGCATGCATCAAGACATGTATTATTATTGGTTAATTCTGACAATTGACAAAAAGCAGAATATCAGTTGCACTGACCTCAGAGTATTCAGTTTACAGTGTGGACTCCTCAGTCCAACAGACAGAAGCTTCACTGGTGAATCCTGCAGATCAGAGTTACTCAGATCCAATTTTCTTAGAGTAGAGGACCGAGAGCTGAGAACGGAGGACAGAGATTCATAGCTTCTCTCTGAGAGGTTACAGAGACTCAGTCTGGGGGGGAAAAAACACTTTTATGAATCTTTGTTTTTTTATGTTAAAGAGGTTAGAAATGTGGCAGCTTACCATAGCTTAGGAATAATAACAATAATAGTAACAATAATAATAATAATAATGATAATAACAATAACAAGAAGAAGAGCTAAAGACTTAAATAACACTGGATAAATCTGACTACTTGTGTAAATTCATAAAGAATCCAAAATATTACTTTATCTGACCTGATTGTTTCCAGTGTACACTGTGGACTGTCCACTGTAGCTGACAGAAGCCTCATCCCTGATTCATGCAGGTTGTTCATACCCAGGTCCAGCTCTCTGAGTCTAGAGGACTGAGAACTGAGGCCTGAGAAAAGAGTTTCACAGCCTGTCTCTGAGAGATAAGGGATGTTCAGCCTAAAAAATAAACAAAATAAAAACTTTGTTATCAAATTAAATAATTTCATATGTTGAACCTTCACAAGAAAAACAAATGTCAGTGTATATTACAGAAACAAAAAATGTTAAAGACTTTGAATTGGCTCATTAAAACAATTATACTCCTAAACAGAAACAGGTGAGGAGCTGGTAGATTAGTTTCCAAATATAAAGATCAGCAATTATTCTGCATAATCAAGGTTCAAGATTCAAGGTTCTAATCCTCATTTATAACATACTGCAATTGCTGCAGCCTCTAAACATTCACCTGTTTCAGTCGTTGGTGATTCCATCTCAAGTTATTATGTGCTTGCTGCTGAACCATTTATGATTTTCATCTCATGGTAATGTGAAATTGTTGCTTTGTGTTTTAAATATTTTATATCCATCAACCAACTTACAGCATATGTATTCACAATATGAATTTTGATGCCAACATTAAATTCTTTAAAAACTATTGAAGATAAAAGCATATATTTAACAGCATTGTTTTCTCTGTTCTAATTAGAATACTTTCTGGAAAATCCAGATTTTTGGTCTACTCAGACAAGACCATGTACTGACATTTTTGTTTTTGTGGTAAAAATTGTCAGTTTGCTCAATCTAGCATGAAAATCTTCTTTGTGGGTTTTTTTCCGCATTATTACAACTACATGGTGGCACAGTGGTCAGCACTGTTGCATCACAAGATGAAGGTTCCTGCATTAAAATGCATGATCTGCCCTTAACAGTGTGAATTTTTTATTAGCATGTGTTCAAATTGTTTGTATGCTAGTTGCCTGTTAGCATCTAGGACCCTGCTATAAACTGCTGAATACATAAAGCAGGAGCATCATCACACAGTGTGAATCATAAAAAATAATTTAAAAAAGAAATAAACTAGTGGGTCTGGCTAGTACCAAAGTGAAAAAGCTGTGTCAGAGTGATATTTTAGGATGTATCTGTAACTGTTTGAGTATGAGAGCCCTTTGTTTAGGTGGACTGCTGGACTCCTGGCAAAGGTTTTTCAGGAGGCGTTCACAGGGTCATATCTTGACCGACCTACACACACACCCATACCCATGTACACACATACACACACACACGCATACCTACACGTGCACACAGATAGGTACCCTTTGTTGACATACATGCCTGATTAAGATGTCAGATGTTAATGAAACTATGTATATTCATGTAAGCACAATAAAAGGCAGTGCTACAAGGGAGCTGACCGAGGATGATGGGGTTCAAGCGGCAGGAACAGTGCTCGCTCCTGGGCACCTCCTTCATGCACGAGATCAAACAAAGCGCTCTGGTGTTTGCCACTGCAGTAGATTGTCTCTTTGTTCCAGCAATGGGTTTCTGATAAACCTAACAAGCTGGACTACTGCAACTGCGATGGGACAGGTGAGCTGAGCTACAGTGATGAGTAGGGATGGGTATCGTTTAGGTTTTATCCGATACCGGTGCCAAACCGGTACTTTTGAAACGGTGCCGGTGCTTAAACGGTGCTCAAACCGGTGCTTAAAGAATGGAGAACACAAAATTGGTCCAAAAACCTC